TTGTAACTACATTGTTTACACTTAATTGTAAGCACTGAAAAAGTTATTTGCACTTGTCCAACATTGAGGACTCCGGTTTTCATTCTTAATCTTCTAGCCAGTTACGTTGGAGAGCTTACTAACTTGAAACAATTTAATGTGCATGCACTTACATAAGTGATGGGCAGTTGTAAGCATGAGAGGAAGAGAGTTAAGCACTGTTTGTTTAGTAGAGTACATTAGATCGTATCTTGTGTAAAAGTAGAAGACCATAGAGCACTGTGGAGTAGGACACATAATTTCTTAAACTTGATTTTGTTTCTGATAATAAACCACAGCAAGGTACATGCATAAAATAACAACAAAAGATATTAATTGCCAAATGTTTAATTTAATTAAACCTTTTTAATGATACACAGTACAATGTATCCACTACTTTGCTAAAATTCACCACAAAAGCAGGTTTCATATGTTTAAAAATATTTTTCATAATAAATTCATAAATAGATGAAGGTAAAGTATAAAAAATTACCATAGTATGCAAGCTTGCTCCCTTGTCTCCTCATATTCCAAATGATCTAGTCAGTATTGTAATAAGAAAGTTTAAAAGCAAAGTAGTTACTGATGATTAGAAACGTACAGCCTGCATCTCTTGAAGAAACCTTGAAGAACACCAACAGATTTGTCCTTGAAAATGCAGAATAATTTTAACACTGTTATCATTCAACCCCCTCAAATAATTTTGGAATGCAGTGAATGAATTCAATATGAATTAGAGATTTTTATTTTCTCCCCAACAGGTGTGTGAGCCAGACCCACTTGAATGCTATCTAGTCTCTGGAGTTGTGGGTTTTATATCTGTCAGATATCAGTGAGTGAGGCACAAAAGAGGGAAAAGCTGGTTGACAGCACTGAGCATATCTGACTATCAAAAATCTTAGCATTTCTCCTTACAGACTTATAAAATAGAAATCTTTAAAAACTGTTACAAATAACTAAATTCACCTTCTGGTTAGTACATGTCTGTATCTACTTTATGTCTGGCAAGCAGGACAGTGTGTGATCTCATCTGTTGGCTTCCCCTGGTTATGAAATGGTATGTATATGTAGCACCATTCCAACACCTACCTCTATTTGGTGAATCCCTTATATTACACCACCAAACTGTATTAGCAAAGTTATTCACCTCATCAATATTACCGCTCTCATAAAAAAAAAAATGTATATAGCATTTTATTTTGTAAAGTATCAAACTACTTTTCACACTTAGAATAATCTATTTTAATACCATTTATAAAGGGAAAAATGCTTACTTACGCACAGCATTGAAGTAGGGAATGAACATGAAAAATACAGAATAATCAGGATGCTCTGCCTCTCACATTAATGCTGTTGGTTTGTTGGTTTGTTTTTTTAATAACTATTTCCCTTTAGTGCAAAACCAGTTGCATACAAGTTTTTGTGCCTTTTTGCAATGGTAACTAGATGCTTTTGAAGACATTGATAGGTATCTATGATATGCAGCTTTAATGTCTCTGAAAATTCAGCTCTTAACTCACTTTTCAAAAGTACCTTCAAATTGTCAAGACAAGTTTGCATGCCATGTTCAAATGACAATCTTTCATACCCTTGTTTTCACATACAATAGTTTAGATACCTAAAATCACTCCCTCTTGCTCATAGAACTTATTGCAGAAAAAATAGGTGTTGATCATCACATGTTCTACAGCACAGTGCAGTGTAACAGGCTGTTACTTAGTGGTTACTGAAAAGAGACTGGCTTTTGGAAGTATACAGATTGCATTGGTCAGGTGCCTTAAAAAGACAATTTCTCAGTCTTCCATTTAATGTTTTCCTCTGCTTTTATTTGGAGAAGATAATCTTTGTGCTGTAAGTTTTGGGGTTTGTTTTTGGTTTTTTTTAATTGATTGAACAATTAGAAATTGTAACTGCTAGCTTGCCACAATTTTGGTCATATATAAGGTACTTTCTCTAAGCTAAAATTTACAGAAACTTGGATACTTTTAGCTAGCTGTTACATCTGAATAGTGTGTACTTTAAGATGTCTGAGTGAGTTCATGGGGTAATTAAGGTTTAAACTCCTAGTAGTAGTCAATGATAGGGTGTACATTCTTATGAAAGCTTAAGATAGGTGACTACTGTTCTTAGTATTGTAGTCTAGGCTTTAAAATTGAAAGATGTAAATGTAGGATTTTTTTTAATGTTACATTTATAACTAAAGGAAAAGAAAGTAGTTCGCTTGTAGTAATTTAGCTGTAACAGCAAATTTTGAATGGGCTAGGTAAGTCTTAGACAGAAATGGTTAAACAGGAGCAGCTTTGTGAAGCTGCTGTGCCTACCAAATACCTTACCCTGACCTACACTACCTACTCAGATGAATGATTGCAAAGCTGAACTTGATTGATTTCAAAGTACAGTGTATTATATACACACATTACAGATATTAAGTAACTGTCACAGGAGCAGGAGATTGATAGCTGTACATGTGCAAAACCCTCTTGGTTATAGTCTATCTGGTGGCCCTTCAGCGCTTTGTGATAGGAAGATTAATCCTCGGTTTTCTGTTAAATTTGAGGTTGAAAGAAAGCAGAAATCAGTGTCAGTTCAGTTGGGTAATTGAATTGGAAATAATTCAATTGAAGTCTAAAAATATATTGCAAAAAAAACATGGAAAGTGACTTTTTTAGTGATAAAGAGAGCCTCAGTAAATTTTTATCAAGGTATGATTTTGGACCTTGTAAAGGTTTTCAAATGGTGTCCCGGGGGAGACAGATGTACTTTTTATCTCATAATGGAAGGAATAGGTTCTAAATACAGCTTTAAGCCAACTTAACAGCTCTCCAAATGTTAAACTATGCTGTTACCATACACTTAACTAGTTTAGCAGTCCACTCTTCAGTATAGACAGCAGTCAAATTTCTGTTGTACAAAAAGCAAACAGCAAAACCCATAACTATTTGTGTAGTGTATTATTTTACCTTTGGGAAGGAAAGTATTTTCTTTGAACTGAGTAAGCATTGATTAAACCTAACACATTTAATCGGACTAAATAGAAAATCTTGCCTGACTATTACTCAGGCTTCACTTTTCTCATTCTTGTGAAGTGACTCTGTTCCCTTGTTTTCCACTGGCTGCTGACTCATATGGAAAAACAAGACAATTGTTGACATAGTCTGTCTTCAGTGATGCCTAAAGTTATGAATGTAATACAGGTAACTGCCTTTAACAGTATTCAAGTAATACAAACCCTTGTTAAAAACAACACAGTGGAAAAAAAATCACAACCCTTTTGTGCTTCAAAGAACTATTTTTAAAGTGCATTTTAACATTTTTTCAATCATATTAAAAAAATGCTATCTAAGGTCAGGATAGGAGAACATGCTGGCTATTTATATCTAACCTGTGGCAACAATTCCATGGACAGTAAATATACATTTGTGTTGGTTAGTTTGTTTTGATTTTGTATCCCTGCTCTTTTCCAAGTAAACTAAAATGAAACTATAAAAAAGATGCAGAGGGCTAAACTTGTGCTGGAAATCAGAACATCTAGTTGCGGATTAGTTTGGATTTTTTTTCTAAAGTACACAGTGGAGACTGCAATTAAATGCTTCCATCTGAGATTTTTTGCTGCTTTGAATAGCTCTATAACCCGATTCAATAGAGTTAAAAGAAATCCAACATTACCTGGCCAGTAAAAACTAAGATACCCAGGAGGCTGGTTCTCTAACTGGAATCTCAGTGGGATGATCAGCACCAAAAGATACTACAAAAATAAAACTGAGACAGTATTTCCCAAATCTATGCATCTCCTCTTACAGCATGGAAAAGGATTATGAAATCTGAGAACAGCCCAATTATAAAGCGCTCTGCTCTGTGACTCTGAAGTCACTATACTTCATACAACTGTAATAAAATGTAACCATTAATCTACATTAACAATGTAGCATCTTTTATTGCCAAATTTGTAAATCTAGACTGCCTTTTAGTTGATGAAACAACCTAGTATCATTTGAGAAAGGATGATGAAGTGGTTATGGTGATTAGCCTCAACTTTGGGATTCATTTCATTTCAATTCCACCGAGAACTACACATGCCCTCGGATCTGTTGTTCTTTAATTGCCTCACTTCTTGTACCACAAGGGTCGGAATACAAGCTACATGGTCATCATCAGCTACGGGGGCAAAGCAAGTCATGTGAGAACTACCTCTTCACAAAAGGGTACACACTCGCTCCAACTTACTTGGATTTTCCCTGTTTACTGGTTGCACACTCTGCCCATAACCTGGTTTGTTTCTGTGAAGTCTCCCCAGAGAATGACTGACAAGGGTTAAACTGAGCTCTCTCCAAGGTTGGAAGATACTAAAAGGAGAGTAACTTTATTTTTCAGTTTCACAAAGCATGTATTGTTCTCACTTAATTTTCCTCCAGCACACTGTTTACCCAAAATAATGCAATAGGGTGAACTTCAGTGGTCTGTCAATATATGTTTTGGAAGCAAGATAGGTAAAGATAAAACAATTTCTATTAATGAAATAACATATAAATTCATCTTGATTTAAAGAGACTCTCATTATAACATTAAGTAAAACAATCCCATAAAGAGAAACTAACAATGTTATTACCTCCCAGTTCCCTCAGGATTGGCATGAGATGGCAAAAGACATTCAAATGGTCAACTGGCTGGGACTATGAGATTAAATAATGGAGGTATAAATCTTAGTGGGACAATATATACTGGGGCAAATCAAGGAAAGGCTTTAATGTTATTTAAGGGTGCTACTGTGTGAGTGTATACTAATGTACTACTGCAGTAACACATGTATATTGCACATGATGATCAGCTGTATTCTTGAGGTAAATATGATCTTCTTTAAAGGCAAACAAAAAACTGAGCAAGAGCTCCACTTTTCATGAAGTTCTTAGAAATCTATGTGGTATTAGCTGGGCTTCATTTAGTCCCCCGTGTCCCCCCCCGCCCCCCCCCAAAGTGATCTGCTTTCCAGTATGTGAGAGTGATAAAATCATTAGGACTTTTCCTCTGTTCTTAAGTATTTTCATTTTTTAAAAATTTTGTTTTGCAAAGCAAATGTTAGCAGATTTCTGGGCTGATGTTTACTTGGTATTATATTTACATAATAATAAATATTTGTACAAGTTCCATCCATGATGATGGACTGGATGAGTAACTGGAGATAAAAGTAGCTTAAATCAAAATCAATACAAAGGATAACAATGCCCACGCTCCTGGGAACCACATTCTGCTGATGATTTCATTTCAGTATTTGCCTCTGCATTCCACTCCTAAGTGTTACAAGGCAGGGATCAATGTCCTCTTCTGCGTTTTTGTAATATTTTGCACACTTTGGGTACTGCCAAAAATAAATGATAAATACTAATGCAAATATGTGGATCTGCTTAAAAGCAATTACTGCACCATAGTCTTGTTAATGTTCAACTTCCGGTAAACACGTTTCTTGGCAAATGTTTATGCTGTGAACTCTGATCATGCGCTACTGAATTATTCACTTGATGTACATTAGTGCACGTTTGTAACCTAAGATTTGAAACTGAGGTTTTTACCCATAAATTTCAGGTTTATTGCTGCTCACTCTCTTCACCCAGGTATCCTTTTGGTTTCAATATGATTACTGGAATTAAACAACAGGACTGTCTTCCTAATACTTGAATTACATAGCTATGTGTGTGAATTGCGGATTTAATAAAAGTCTTCAGAAGGGGAGTGAAAACCTTTAAGTTACGTTTACTGTTTAATTTATTTCTGGTCAAGAAGCTAGTGAGTATTGTGCTATTACTAATAGACAAAGAAAGGGTTTGGTAATTGAAATAGCCTTTTACTATTGACAGCCCAAGCACTGTCATTCATATCTGCTACTAACCTGAAAAAATATACCAGGTCTTCAGTCTATTTCTTCGTTCCCTTTTGTTCAGTTAGGTAGGGCATGCAAACTTGTATTACACTTGCTATAACATAAAGAGCCAAGAGTTAGAAGACAAAGCTGACTTAAAGCAATAGTCTTAGTTTTCTGCTCATCTGAATTGGTGCCTTCATTTGAAAACATAGTGAACAAGTGCTGTATTTCATGTTTTCTGACTGAAACAGACTAACCTGCAGACAGTCTCAACCTTCAAGACTAGCTTAAGAGATATATGGGGGCAAACTGTAAGGAAAAGTATAGTGCTTGGTCTAATTCTACTTGTTTACTAAACAAACCTCAAAACCAAGGAACTGGATCAATAATTCCTCAGTTCTCCATCTACTGTAAAAACACAATCATTCACTGACTGCACTGGAAGCAGGATTTATGGTCATTTTGCATCTTGCTCCAGTTTTAAGATGAGTTACTATGTAAACTACTCATTTCAATCTGAGTAGTAGCAATACTGTTCTTAAATGCATGTGAATTTTTATCAGCATGGCTTAAATAATTTGGCACTAATCCTGCAAATAGTGGGAGGCTGAGCTTATCTGAGGGTCCATGTTCAAGCATGCAGAACTGCAGGACTGTGACCTACAGATGTAAACTATAATATGTCATGACAAAAAGTCAAATGCTTGCTACTATTCTGTATCTTAAGGACCATCTAACCAGGAGGAAAAGCAGTCACCAGGACTGAGTATTGGCTTGGACTGTCTTCATAGTTTCTCCCTAAAGTGGAATACAGGGTTTGCTAATCACTAACAAATCTAGAGTTCAGACAATTCTCAGTTTCAGTGTCTAGCTACTGCTGGACACTTACTGCCTGTTATCTTTGGATGCAGAACAGCTGGGAATGTCCTAGAAGACTATGCAAAAATACTGAGTACTGTAGCTCAACCTGTTCTTCCATATAAAACGTTAGAATTGTGAAAACTATACTAATTGAAAAATTTAAGGCCCTTTCACTCTTACAACTATAAAACTTGAAAACAAACCCCTTAGATGAGAAACAAACAGGCTACAAAGTGTATGTAACACCTCGATTATCTACGTCATAGTTTTAAAAAAAAAAGAAAGACCAGAGAATGGTTTAGTATTTTCTGAAGGAAGATGAATAGTATTGAAATTAGGATCCATTAGCCCTTTCTTAAATCTTCCTGATTTTCATGATACTGGATATGAAGAACGGCTGAAAACTGGTGTAGCCCTAGTAGCAAACCAATCCAGGTCCTTTTTGACCTGATCAAGATTTTAAAAAAAGACAAGTGACTTCACTTTAAGTGGGTGCTTTCTGAAAATGAGGTCTTTCAGAGCATCAGGATTGCAAAAATCACTTGTCACCTCTGAACACCTTTGCTTTAACTGCAGAGTTAAAAATAATCCTGCTTCTGCTCCCTTTGCAAATCCATTTTTGTAAGGTGCTTGAGAGTGTAAATCCAGAGAGGACTGCTGCCACCTTCAACTGCATCTACAACATATAATATAGAGCTGAATCTGAACGACAACTATGTAGAGTTGAATTATGAAATCTATTTTACTTAAACAATGTAGAGTTTTGATCAACAGTGAAAGATTTTTCCTGCTGAGTGTTTTCAAGAAATGAAAAGCAATTGGTAATTTGTGATAGGGAGAGGGAAGAAGTTGAGTACAAAGTTGGGAGGGAATCACTCAAAAAGATGCTGGTTTCTTACAACCAAGAAGCTGCAATGCATGCAGTGTTCAGCTATTCTGAGGTCTTCTTTCCCATTATATGCCCGCATTGTATTTAAAGAGATGGTTTAAAACAAAACAAAAACCAAATCCACTTACGCCACTTAAGCAATAAACACTATGGTAACATAATGTCAAATGTATGACCAGAATTAACCCTGTATATGACCATTAGGCACATGGCAGGAGATCATGGCTACCAGTCAGTTCAAGGTTTCTCCAGTTCCTGTTTCCAGTGGTGCAGGTCTTGAGTTGTGGAATGAAATTAAGAGACCTGAGGGCAAAAACTCAACGATACCCACTTGGAAAAGGGAGCTATCACTGTGCAAACAATAACAAATGAAATGCATCTACCCTCTCCTCAAGGCTGTATTTAAAATAACTACGCTGGTCCAATCCTACTTTAAAGCAAGTCATGTGACATTGCTCAAGCTGATTTTTTTTTGTTGTTAAAATGAAAAAAAAAATTGTAACAAAACCTGAGAGAAGGCTTCCCCACCTGGGCCTGTTCCAATACTAACTAGCAATCCATATGCCCCAGGACAGGCGACTTCTATTTGGTCCTGTATTCAAAAAGCTGGGAATTCTGACACTTGAAATACCTTTATCAAAGACACTGTCACTTTCTGGTCATTGGTGGAGTGCTGAGGATTTAAAGAGACACTGTCAAGTTTACCTATTCCAAAAGTGACCTCCTTTGCCAACAGTCCCATGCAAAATGCTTCAGAACTTTGGGTGTGTATCAGTCTTTTCCCCAACCATCTGTCTCCCCACCCCACATCACCAGTTCAAAGTTGTTTCCTCCACTTTTGTAATTTGTATGAAGGTTACAGAAAATAAAATGGTGGGGACAAATGTTGAGTAAGTTTTTCAGAGGGATTGACTTTTAGGACTACCTCTCAAGAGTCCCTTTTTAAAAATAAGACACCAAAGCAAACAGGATTGTGTCTAACTTCTACAAAATTGCTGGTTTCACAGGAGGAGGAAAATATGGCTACCATGCTACTCAGCATTAGGGTGAAGCACCATCTAAATTCCAGTAAAGTTAGGGATATCACCTAGCTCATATCAGCAACCACACCCCCAGCCTTCTACAACGTCTTTGCTGTCAAGCTTGATGCTGTCAGTATTCTTCTCACTGAACATAGGGCCTCCATGCCTCATCATGAGCTCTGTAGCCATCTTCACAAAAGCCTCCTCCACATTGCTGGAGTCTTTCGCAGAGGTCTCTATGGCACAGATGATATTATCATAGTGTTCAGCCAGACTCTGAGCTTCTTCCAGCTGAACCTCTCGAAGGTCACTTAGGTCAGACTTGTTTCCTGGAAGAAAAAGAGACAACAGAGTAATTTATAATGACTATTTATGTCAGAGTAAATACTTAGCAGGAGGTTCTCAGGTTGCCCAGAGAAGCTGCAGAATTTCCATTCTTGGAGATTTTCAAAATTTGACTGAAAAGGCCCTGACCAACCTGACATTAGTGTTGCTTTGAGCAGGAGTTTGGATTAGATAATCTCCTAAACCCCTTCCAAACTGTTTCTGTATGACTCATATAGAGAACAGAAACGTCAGTAACTGAAGAGCGGTGGCTGTAGACCTTAACAGAAGAAAAATGGACTAGAAATGAAAGCTAAAACCATTTTGTGAAAACAACAGCAGTCTGCTGGTACCTAGGGAAATCTAGAGTAGTACTGATATTGTATTAGCGGGTCTACAGGCCCTGAGAGCTGCACGTGAGTCAGAAACATAGGGGCTTGGAAGCAGAACTACTAGCAGAGGACTGACAAACCCCAATTGCCCCGAAGTCCTTCTGAAATCCCCTGGCTGCTGAAGTACGTGGGTGTTCCAGTTTGCCAAGACACGTCGGCTCGATATGATGGAGCTTCTCTGGGCCCTGGAAACCTTATGATCCTTATCATGAGAATAGCTCCACAGCAGCTGTGCCTCAGAACCTGGAAATCTTGGGTACTCAGTTCTCCATTAAGTGAGATGCAAAGGATTCAAAGGTGGCTTCTGATACAAAGCTGTCTACTTCTTAACGGAAGCTAATCAAAGCAAAACATTTCTGTTTTGATGAATCAGCACTTTCTAATTAAAAAAACATAGGGAAAATTTCCAATCGGATCTATTAAATACACCTTAACTTCAACGAAAAATAAAACTTCTAACCATCTCAAACAAGTATTGCAACTAATTACATTGTACAGTAACCTGTAGCGCTTGGTATTAATATTTTCAACTCACCAATCAGTAATTGTACTATGTTGGAACCAGCATACTTTCTCACATCCTCGATCCAGCGAGGAATGGACAGGAAAGAGCCTCTCTTGCTGATATCATAGGCTAGGATTGCTCCATTGGCGCTGCGGTAATAACTCTGCGTGATAGTTCTGAACCTCTCCTGGCCAGCTGTGTCCCAGATCTGCAACTAAATAAAACAAAGCATACAGTGAGACACTGGCTAGCAAGCTTTCCTGAATCAAAAGATAGGACTTGATTCAACAGCCTTGTTACAAATCTCCTTTATACCCAATACATTCTGGCATCACGTTTTTCTACTCCTTTGTTCATGATTTAAGGATAATATATCCTGGAGAACCTTGTTGCACTTGACTGCTCAAGGTTTTTATCTGTATCGGTTGAGACACTCTGGGTTCTTGAAGGTGAGCTCTGATGCACCCTTCTGTGGCAGATTATGAAATTATCACTTGTGTGTCCAGCCCTACCCCTTTGTCACCTTATCTAGCAGAGTTAGCAAAACAAGCTGTTAGCCTACAGCCAAGCCACTCCAGTTCATCAGTTAGTGTGTCACTGAAACTACAGCTGGGTTTTTCACTAGCATATTGTCTGTGGTACTGACGTGGTTTTGCCAGTTCTGCTACAGGGGCAGTAACAACTGGAGTAGGATGTGGTGTTATCATCTGAGAGCACTGATGCTGTTTTATAAGGAAATATGAGACAATTAATATATATAGAATACATAAAATGTATAAAAGAATGTATAAAAGAAATGCCAGCAATTCTAGGTTTCAATAAAGTCAGTCAAAGATCTAGTCAGTCTAGTCACCTGTCCTTTTTTAGGTGGCAGAACAGGCATTACATCTGGGCAGGAAGAAGAAATCCTTAGCTTACATACTTTCGCCTAAATCCAGCAGCATAAGAACTACTGAGTTTAGTATCAAGGTTTGAGTTCCCAGTACTAGATGTTCCAGTGGAAGAAGCCAAATAACTCAGAGTGGACAAACACAATATCCTGCTCATAGGGAAAATTTCTCTTTTAAATCCTATTGTTTTATAGGTTGTCTAATGTCCTGGAACATGATGGCTTATATTCCAGGAGCTTTTAATCTAAAGTAACTGTGGATGTTCTCATCCTCCATATAAATCTCTAATGCTTTTTGAATCTTTCAAAGCTCTTGGCTTCAACATATAGTAGCAATGAAACCAAAGAATTTCCTTTTATAAATTTTATATTTTCTGTCCTTCTGTTGCACTTTCACTTCCCTATCCCCAAATGATAAATGGGAGACCGCTGCTTGTCTTTTTGTGCCGTTCCTTATATTCTGCATCTCCTCTTAACCGAGACAGGACATGAGCAAACACTCCTGGGTTTTTTAATCTTCCCATATTGTGGACCTGTTATTATTTCCCCTCTCCGTGAACCTCTTTAAAATAAAGAGCTGACAACAATTTAACACAATGCGCCAGTGCTATTTTATGCCAAATAACATGGAATCATTTTTCCATTTATTTCTTTTGCACATTAGTATTTTGCTTGTTATCTTCTGACTCTGCTGCATGTTTGAACAGCAACTTTCACTTCGGAAAAGGCTGTACTGATCAGATCACTTTCCTGTGCTACTCAAGCATTTAGACCCCAAATGATACATGTACAGCTTAAGAGGAATTAATCCAAGGAAAAAGTACTTCTCAGTCCTGGTAAGAGTTTTTTCAGAAAAGGGGAAGGGACTGTAATGGAAAAACATTTCATAAAACAGAAAACCACAAAGCAATGATTATTAATGGAACAGATAATAATTTAGAGCAGTCCACAGACAATTACTAGACAGAATGAAGTTCATGGCAGGCTTATGTATGATGTTCTGTGTACTGAAGTCCCCCATTAGACCTTTGTGTTTGTTACGTAGTTTTAAATCTCAGTGCTTGATTAGGTCAAGTGAAAAACAAGGCTAATGATGATTATCCAATGCTTGGGAGAGGTCTGAGAGATTTTGTGCATACAGAAGAATTATAAACTTTTTAAATAAAAAAAAAAATTTGTTTTAGCTTACACTTTTCACATGGTATAAATAAAAGTGATTTACCTGCAGAATGACTGAGCAAGCCAATCTCACGCCTTGTGCTGTATATGGGATTTTAAAAATCTCTGTGTAAGTACATTCCATAGAATCACAGAATCATTGAGGCTGGGACAGATTTTGGGAGGTGACAGATCCAACTGCCATCTCAAAGTGGGGTCAAAATTTAATTCTTCCAGGAAGAATTGCTCCATGATTTTCCCACGGACCAAAACAAGCATGACCAGCCTGTAGTTCCCAGGATTTCTTGGCCTTTTTGAGGATGAGTACAATTTTTGCCTTTCTCTGGTCCTCCCCATTTTCCACAGCTTTTCAGTAGTGATAGAGCAACCTCAAAATGTCACCAGAAAGATCTCACAGCACAGCACCCCCCCCCACATTTTTTACTCAAGCATTTATGTCTGTGTGTTCACAGGACTGAATGTACAAAGTTGCTGAAGCCCTGAGTGTCCTGCTGGGAGCAGCACAGACCACAGGTTTGACCTTCTCAGGAGCTCAAACAGCAGTCTTCCTCCCAGCCCACATCCTCCAGGTAAGCTCTTTCCCTCAGGCATTTGAAGTTCATGCTCCCCTACTTGTCACTCTTCTTTTGTGTAAGGACTCTGAATCATTTAGCTTTTTACATGATCTTCAGTTTGTTGTGGTTTTGCTTTCATTGCTGAGACTACAGTATGTATTAGACCCGTAAGCAGATACTTTCTTTGCAAACTTATCAACTGACACACCTGTTTGTCACTGTTCCCATCGTTTCTGCTGGCAGAAGGAGCCAGGTGAGTGCTCAGGGAAAGCCAGTCAAATATGGGCATGGTTTAATGACTTGCTTAAGCCAAACTAAGACAATACTGTCATCAAAGACTTGCCATCCCAGCTGCATATCCTTGCCCTCTCCCTGTATTGAAACCACCACCAGTTAATCTGATTCACCATATAGCTTAATTTACTGATGTAACTGAAAAACAGGGGTTTTCCTTTTGTTTGAAGGGTTAACACTAATTACACAGCCACATGGTACTGAAAGCGTGCAGACTGCACAGGGAGGAAGGTGCAATGATCCTTTAGAGCAATGGCAAAGTTGTCTTAAACAATCATGAATATGCCCCTTCATTTTAACTTGTTGCTGAAGGTGGGTGTGAAGTGATACAGTGACCTCACCTGAAGCTGAGTAAGGAGTCCTTGTACGGTCTCCTCTGGCAGACCTATGGAGAGATGGTAGCTTCAGCTAGTACCAATCAGTCTGTCTTGTAGCATGCTCAGTGTGCAAAGGTACTTCTCGGGGGGCTAATAACAACTCGCGTCTTACAATTTGGAAGCTTGAAAACCTACCCGTCACATTGTTTGAAGTTTTAATAACTGTTTTATTTTAAATAATTAGGAACACACACTACAGACACAGACAGCGTATGCAAGTATTATGAACCAGGTTACCTAATTTAAAGCAAGCTGTATTCCTAATGGCAAAATACAGCTAATTTGCTTGACAGCATCTTTAGAAAACTCTTAAGAAAAATATTTCTGTATAGCACCAATCAGTCTGAAATATGATTAAAAAAAAAAATTAAGTCATTAAAAAATACCAGTTCTGATACTAAGTAAACACTTTTTTCTCCAGTAGGTGTACAGATACATTTCAGAAAATTCTCCTGAAAAAGAAACATGACAACTATATATAAATGTCAATTACAACTATAATTTAAAACCACCATTTCGTAGTAAAAATTTTTTATAGTCTCTCTGTTAAACTATATTAACAGGTATGTAAATCTTGACAAGAAATAACAATTGCAAATTCTTTGGAAGAAAGTAGTATTTCATGTAAAAGCCCCTCAATGTAAGTTAGATTTAAAAATCAAAATACTAATGAATTTTACGAGCCACAGGTTACAAAAAAGATACAATCATACATACTTTTGTGTTGTATAACCATATCACATACAGTATGTGACACAGAGTTCTTATTTATTTCCTCAATTTAAGTGCTTCAGCTTTGTCAATAATGTGATTGAAGCCACATCTGTCACTTAGTAACCTTTTTAAGCAATTCCTGATTTTGTAATTACTTTGGCAACAATTTTGGTGTAAGAAAGACAGAAGTTGGGATTGCTGAATTGTGTTAAATTCATCTGAGGATACCAAGAAAAACCACCTATGAAATAAGAGATTGGTAGCAGGCCTTCAGGGGGACCATCTCTAGTAACAAATGAGGACAGGATAAAGAACAGAGAATGAATACTCATTGTTCAGAAGGAATATGACAGAATACCCTAAGTGAACAAAGACAAGGAGCCACCTTTCTTGTGCTAATTGTTTCACTATTGAATGCCCATTTACTTACAAAAGCTGGTTATTTTGATCAGCTTTTAGCTTTGAATTTTTTGGACAGCAGAGCCCTTAGCACTGGCTGGTACTGAATAGCAAAGCACTAAACCAACTATTAACTCCTGTAAGATTTTTCATGACTTCATGTAATCACCATAGAATTGGAGCTTTCTGAAAGTACATTAGACAAAGTCTTGAACATCTTTTCATGTTTGCTTTTTCATCTCTTCCTGTTGGGAAGGAGTATACAGGGAGTGTAGGTCATTCACCCCTCGCAAGGATGCAGGCTAGGGTCTGACTGGCTGGGGAGCAGCTGTGCTGAAAAGGCCCTGGGGGTCTTTGGAGACAGCAAGCTGAACAGGAGCCAGCAGTGTGTCCTGGCAGCATCCTGTTACAATACAGGAGCTGTACTGACAGGAGTGAAGCCAGTAGATCAAGGGAGACGATTATTCCCCTTTACTTGGCACTTATTAGATTCCAGCAAAATTAGTGTCCAGTTTTGGGCCCCCCGTACAAGACAGACATTGAAGAACTGGAGCAAGTTCAGTGGAGGGCCATCAAGATGGCCACGTAATCAGAGTACACACCCTGTGAGAAGAGTCTGAGGGCAACAGACTTATTCAGCATTTTAGAGGGATTTGAGATGACCTATTAGCTGCTGTCCAGTACCTATGAGAAGGTTATCAAGATGACTGAGCCAAGCTCTTCACAGTGGCACATGATGGAAAGATGAGAGACACCAGAGAAAAAATTGAAACAAGGAATGTTTCAACTTGATGTAAGGAGGAAAACA